AAATACGTTAAATACAGGATAAAAACATTAATCCTGTAGACCTAACAAATACGTTAAATACAGGATAAAAAACATTAATCCTGTAGGCCTAACAAATACATTTAATACAGGATAAAAACATTAATCCTGTAAACCTAACAAATACATTAAATACAGGATAAAAACATTAATCCTGTAGACATAACAAATACGTTAAATGCAGTAGAAAAACATTAATCCTGTAGACCTAACAAATACGTTAATACAGGATAAAAACATTAATCCTGTAGACCTAACAAATACATTAAATGCAGTAGAAAAACATTAATCCTGTAGACCTAACAAATATGTTAAATGCAAGATAAAAAAATTAATCCTGTAGACCTAACAAATACGTTAAATGCAGGATAAAAATCCTGTAGACCTAACAAATACATTAAATACAGGATAAAAATATTAATCCTGTAGACCTAAAAAATACGTTAAATGCAGTATAAAAACATTAATTCTGTAGACCTAACAAATACGTTAAATACAGGATAAAAACATTAATCCTGTAGACCTAACAAATACGTTAAATGCAGTATAAAAACAATAATTCTCTAGACCTAACAAATACATTAAATACTGGATAAAAAACATTAATCCTGTAGACCTAATAAATACGTTAAATACAGGATAAAAACATTAATCCTGTAGACCTAACAAATACGTTAAATGCAGGATAAAAATCCTGTAGACCTAACAAATACATTAAATACAGGATAAAAATATTAATCCTGTAGACCTAAAAAATACGTTAAATGCAGTATAAAAACATTAATTCTGTAGACCTAACAAATTCGTTAAATACAGGATGAAAACATTAATCCTGTAGACCTAACAAATACGTTAAATACAAGTATAAAAACATTAATCCTGTAGACCTAACAAATACGATTAATGTTTTTATCCTTGTATTTAAAATGTTTTTATCCTGTATTTAACGTATTTGTTAGGTCTACAAGGGATTTGTAGACCTAACAAATACGTTAAATACAGGATAAAAACATTAATCCTGTAGACCTAACAAATACGTTAAATACAGGATAAAAACATTAATCCTGTAAACCTAACAAATACATTAAATACAGGATAAAAACATTAATTTTGTAGACCTAACAAATACGTTAAATGCAGTAGAAAAACATTAATCCTGTAGACCTAACAAATACGTTAATACAGGATAAAAACATTAATTTTGTAGACCTAACAAATACGTTAAATGCAGTAGAAAAACATTAATTTTGTAGACCTAACAATTATGTTAAATGCAGGATAAAAAATTAATCCTGTAGACCTAAAAAAATACATGACATACCGAGGTTAAGTGTTAGGGAATGATGAAAGACTGCAGCATTAATTCATTTGATTGATTGTGAAGGCAATCAGCACATTTACAAGCCGTCTAGACTCGCAACATCCAGTTTTACTGGCAGTGTGGTTAGAAATATTTTGCTAAAATGGTTGTTCATTGGAGATAATAATAAATTAGAAATCATGTAAATCACATGTGTTTTTTTTATAAATTCCTCTAAATTTGTCCACAATTGACATATACGTGAGATGTATCGGATTTGAATAGTTTGCAAGCTTTCAGCGTTTGAACATTAACTTTTAATAATAAAATACGTTCTGTAATATAGGGTGGCTGTCAGTGTTGAGTTTGTTAATCCAGGCATTCATGGTCTAAATTTACCAAATCCAACATCTTTTAACTTTTGTGAAATAGTTAAAATATAAACACTGTAACAAATTAAAATTAGTTTTGATTGTGAAAAAAATTGACATAGAAGATGTATACATAATTATTACATTTAATACATGAAATAATTATAACACAGTTAACTTTAGAAAAGAATAATCATGTTACTAGTAGCAGTTCTGAATTTGTTACTGGAAATAAAATAACTAACAGCCATTAGCTGGTGCCTCCAAAAGTTGATGTTGAGACCTGTAGTTAAACATATTTTAGGTGTGAAACTACCATAAAATTATAGCTAATTGTCTTACGTACCTGCTAATATTTATTGACATTTGAGTTTGTACTATTGCTAGTTATTTCAATCCCAACATGATAGGGTTTAACTTTGTCTCTACTGATAGAACGTTTGTAATAAGGTAGAAAGGAAGTGTGAGAAGCCTGAAGGAATAAAATGTATGTAACATTTCCTGAAACCAAATTGTTAGTTCTATTACATGTTTAGTAAATGAATATTATGAGTGTTTACACGAGGAGAGAGACAAAATCAGACATTGTCTGTACCAAATAACTTTTAATTATGGGCAGTGATAAAAATAGATTTTATATACAAAGCACTAGAGTTAGATCAGCTGATTCTTTACCTCAGTTTTACAGGAGCGAGAAATGAAGATAAAAAATGCTCTTACTGAAGTCCGTAAACAGAGACAACTTCGAAGAAAAAATCGTCTTCAGAAACAAATACCCATTATATCAGTGGTGGGCTACACAAATGCAGGTACTTGTAATAATAAAGTTGTGAAATTAAAGTAGTTTCTTTATCTTTGCAAAAAAATGAGTTCCACTATGTTTTCATTTTGCTAATAGGAATGTTTTCTTAATATTTAAACAGAAAGATGGCATGATCTTTTAGATACTGAAGTCTATCTGAACTCCAGAGAACTGATAAATATTCTGGTTTTAGTCAAGGGTTCAAGTCTCTAACAGAACAGATTTATTACTGAATGTGTGTTAGACCAATCACTTGATGGATTGTACTGTATTTTTCTAGAAATATTAAAGCTATTAAGTTAATAAGTCAAGCAATTGTAAAAATATTTATTTTTGTATAGTATTAGATACTGTGTTTCCAAAACAGTGATCACTGGCTTATTTTAGGATATAATGGTCACCTGCACTGAACGTTGGCTTAGCTTGTGCACTTTAGGACATAAAGGGCATCCACACTGGTTGCTGGTTTAGCTCAGGTGTGTCAGGACTGAATGTTTTCCCAAATTAAATAATGTCATTATTTATCAAATGTGCCCCCCCCACACACACACCTCAGTGGCTTAGCAGTAAGTCTGGGAATATAATGTTAAACATTGAGTTTATCATGATGAGGACAGTGCAAAATAGCCCATTATGTAGCTTTGTGCTTAAGTTGTCTGTGACAACTTTCTAAGAATAATTCAGTTTTACTAGGTTCACTTTGGTATTGGTAAATTTCAAAGTTTAAATTAGTTTTAATAGGTTCAGTTTGTATTTGCAACTTTCCAAGTAAAGTTCAGTTTTATTAGACTCTCCTTGATTTTGATAACTTTCCAAGTATGGTTCAGTTTTATTAAACTCACCTTTGTTTTGGCAACTTTCCAAGTATGGTTCAGTTTTATCAGATTCATTTTTGGCAACTTTCCAAGTATGGTTCAGTTTTATTAGACTCACTTTTGGCAACTTTCCAAGTATGGTTCAGTTTTATTAGACTCACTTTTGGCAACTTTCCAAGTAAGTTCAGATGTATTAGACTCACCTTTGTTTTGGCAACTTTTATAATTAAGTTTATTAGTTTCATTTTAGTGTGGTACTATTTATAGTTAGGTTTACTAGGCTCAGTTTTATTTGGTAACTTTAAAGTATAGTCCCAGTGGCACGACTTTGTACTGAGTTTTGTGTTTCTTGTAGATAAAATATCTAAAGAACCATCAAGTACATAACTGTTTCTTCAACTTGTGCTTACAGGTAAGACATCTTTAATCAAAGCTCTGAGTGGTGACGAGAATCTAGAGCCCAAAGATCAAATGTTTGCTACTCTTGACATCACAGCCCATGCAGGATTCTTACCATGTGGTCAGAAAGTGTTGTTTATGGACACAGTAGGATTTATTTCAGACATACCAACAGGTCTGATTGAAGCTTTTGCAGCAACTCTAGAAGATGTGACCATATCTGTAAGTAAATATCTTTCATTATGGATATAGCAGTGTCTGTAAGCTACCGATCAGATATATCCTTTATTGTGGATATACCAGTGTCTGTAAGCTACCGATCAGATATATCCTTTATTGTGGATATACAAATGTCTGTAAGCTACCAATCAGATATATCCTTTATTGTGGATATACCAGTGTCTGTAAGCTACCGATCAGATATATCCTTATTATGGATATACCATAGCTTACAGACACCCAGCCAGATATATCCTTTATTGTGGATATACCAGTGTCTGTAACCTACTAATCAGATATATCCCTTATTATGGATATACCAGTGTCTGTGTATTAGGTAATGTTTTAGATAAGTAGTTATAAGCATTCAAGATACACACAAATATATAAGTAGCTAGCCATGTTTGTAATTTTCTGTATTTAATTTGTAAGTCTTGTGTTTTCTTAAATTTTGATGTTTATATATACATTTACAGTATGAATTAGGATCTCGCATGTGTCACTGTTAACTTTATATGTGGCAAAAGTAGGGTTTACGTAACAAACACATCACTCGAATATCGTCGTTCAGCACTTAAAAGATAATGAGTGTGAAGTTTAGGATTACAGTATGTTGACTATATTATTAGGTAGATTACAGTATGTTGACTATCTGATTAGGTAGATTATAATATGTTGACTATATTATTAGGTAGATTACAGTATGTTGACTATATTATTAGCTAGATTACAGTATGTTGACTATATTATTAGGTAGATTACAGTATGTTGACTATCTGATTAGGTAGATTACAGTATGTTGACTATATTTTGTTGACTATATTATTAGGTAGATTACAGTATGTTGACTATATTATTGGGTAGATTACAGTATGTTGACTATATTATTAGGTAGATTACAGTATGTTGACTATATTATTGGGTAGATTACAGTATGTTGACTATATTATTAGGTAGATTACAGTATGTTGACTGTATTATTAGGTAGATTACAGTATGTTGACT